ACCAACAACTTATCTAGGCAACAGATTCTGGGTGCTACTGAATTTACTCAGCACTTGGTTTTTTTTCAGACTGGGCACAGCGAATCCAAGCATAGTTGATTCCTTCAGTGATGAAATCATCCTGGTGTAGTAGGCGCCAGAAGAGGGTGCACATGTGTTTAAAAGCCCTATAGGCCTCTTGCTCTCACTAATGTTCTCCTTATACTTGAGCTTGACCTAACCAACGAAATGGATGACCGTCTGGTTATCAAAATCTTCTCCATCTCAGTAGGTGTCCTTTATTATAGACTCTACTTTAAGATCGTTTTTGTTTTATCTTTTTTTTTTTTTTTTTTAATTGTAGAGAGAGCGGGGGAAGAGGGACAGAGGGAGAGAGAGAGAGAATCTTAAGCAGGCTTCACGCTCAGCAAGGAGCCTGATGCCGGGCCGAATCCCACGACCCTGGGATCATGATCTGAGCTGAAATCAAGAGTCAGATGCTCAACCGACTGAGCCACCCAGGGGCCCCTTAAGATCCTTTAAAAAAAAAAAAAAATTCTGTAACGGGACGCCTTGGTGCTTCAGTTGGTTGAGCATCTGACTTTGGCTCAGGTCATGATCTCATGGTTCGTTGAGTTCGAGCCCCACACTGGGTTTGCTGCTGTCAGCACAGAGCCCACTTGGGATCCTCTGTCCTCTTCTCTCTGCCCCTACCTCTTCCCCACTGGCACGTGCGCATGCTCTCTCTCTCTCTCTCTCAATAATAATAAACATTAAAAAAATTTCTGTTGCTTTTTATTAATTCTTGTTAACAGTCCATTTTATAACTGAACATTTTCAATACTTCTGAGCACCTCATGCGCTGCTGCTTCCATATATTTATCTTTTTAAAGCAGTATTTTTAAATGTCAGAAATTCCCTACCATATATAATTGAAAGCTGGCTAGATGACACACAATATGGACACAAACCTTTAAACAGTTGCTATTTTTTTTTTTAAGCTGAAGAGACAGTATTTTGTAAAGACTGTTTTGTAAAGACTAAATCGAACCCCGATTCGGAATCTGAACAACCAGCAAGTACAACTACAAATTTTTCACAATACGATGCCACAACTTGCAGTTATCTCCTTAAGCCAACAGACATCTACACGCTAATCAGTATCTTTAAAACCCTCATTAAAAATGAAAGTGAACTGGGGTGCCTGGATGACTCAGTTGTTTGAGTGCCCAATTTGCACAATCAAGACAGATACACACATGCCCCAGGCAGATACACACATGGCCAATATAATATGGGCAGTCCTGTCACCCCAATCACTAGCAGCAATAGCCACTTCCAGTGCCGGAAGACTTCCACACAGGAACGGATGGTGCCAAGATCAATGACAAGAATAGATCCCTTCAATGAGGCAGCCGAGCAGAGGGTTTGGCTTGAGAAAGATGAGACACCAAGTTGTGCTGCAGCATTCAGCAAGTGGAGCGACTGTGCAGAAATCATTTTTGATCTAATTTCTTTAATAAAGTAAGTCCTGACCTACAGTTAGTTTGCTGAGCTCTGTGGCAGGCTGGGTTCTCTGGGAAGCAGACTCTGAAGTTTAGAATACAGGATGCCTGTCTATCCAGGAGTGCCCTGGGTGTCAACAGCTGGGAGGGGGAGAGGAGGAAACAGGCCTGGGTAGAGCAAGAAGTTTCTGCATTGCAGGCCCATCCATAGCGTGCTCTGGAGCCACAATGGCTCCTCACCTCCTTCAATCCCTGAATGTGGGCTGGCTTGAGAAGTTCATGGCCTCCAGCAAGAGGATTTTCTGCAGCTAACATATTCTTGAAGAGGCTGAGAATTGAATGTTCTCTGTCAAGGAGACCTGGTCAGCACAGAGTCCTTCACTGAAGCAAGAGTTCTTCAATAAGAAGGATCTAGGTGGCACATTTCAGAAGCACCTCAGCTGTTTTCTGGACCTTTCAGTCTGAATCACCTGTTGTGTGCACTCCTACTTTACCAGCCCAGGTACTGTAGTTATTAGGATACAGGCAAGAAATGTAAAGATTGAGACTTAAGCTCTTCAGAACCATATTACCTTTTGAGAATGTATTATAAGCCTCAGAGACCCTCCCCCCGAAAAATAGAAATACACAAAAAATTTTGTGTACAATTCTAAGGACTCACAGACCCCCATAACACCCATAGACCTCAGGTTAAGAAGTCTCAGTAATCTAGCAAAGAATATTTAATGGACAGCTGAAAAGCTTAATAAAGGAAAAAGAAAAATCAATTAAAAATCCCCATTGCTATTTTTTTTTTTAATATTTATTTTGAGAGAGAGAGAGTGCATGTATGAGCGGGGGAGGGGCAGAGAGCGAGAGCAAGCGAGAGAGAATCCCAAGCAGGTTTTGCACTGTCAGTGCAGAGCCCGATTCGGGGCTCAATCCAACAAATCATATGATTAGGACCTGAGCAAAAATCAAGAGTTGGAGGCATAACAGACTGAGCCACCCAGGCATCCCTCCCCGTCGCTATTTCTTGGGTATCTGCTCTATTTGGTTTTCTAAAACCCTCACCAGGATTATTACTTACCTATGTAATACGTATTTCACAAACAAGAAGATAACATCTGATAAGCCACAGAGAAGCCACTAAACTTGGGTTGTCAAACAACAAAGCAGGGATCTCTCAATTCTCCCATCACTGGCAAACAAGCAGATGAAGTACTGGAATGGGTTCTAGTGCTACCTGGGGCTTGGGAACGTCTCTGGCAGTGCTGGCTGCAAACAAGCTCTGTGGCTCCCGCCCCTGAATCTACAGCTACCTTTTGTCAATGTTGTTCTAGGTCTTTCTCAGCAAGCAGAGCCAGAAATGGCCCAGGTCTCCAGAAGCTCCCCGACTCCCACACATCTGTCTGCTGTAAGCACAGCTGGATATTTAGCTAATGATGAGCCTGATTCAAAAGGGCTTTTATGAAGCAAATATTCTCAAGATGCTGGATACTGTGGTATACGACTTGAATGCATGCCATCACTGTGACTCCCACTCCAATGCCAGACACTGCCTCTGCACTGTGTCTTTGGTGAGCCCTGCTCCAATCGCTTATGGGAGAATGAGGCCACAGCTAGAACACCCCAGAGAGGGCAGTGTTGAACTTACTTTTTATTTTACTTAAGTCAACACTACCCACAACGTGGTGCTCGAACTCACAGCCCTAAAATCAAGAGTCACCTGCTCCACTGACCAAGCCAGCCAGGCGCCCCTCGAACTTAACTTTTTATTTAAAAAAAAAAAATTTTTTTTAACGTTTATTTTATTTATTTTTGAGACAGGGAGAGACAGAGCATGAATGGGGGAGGGTCAGAGAGAGAGGGAGACACAGAATCCGAAACAGGCTCCAGTCTCTGAGCGGGTCAGCACAGAGCCTGACGCGGGGCTCGAACTCACGGACCACGAGATCATGACCTGAGCCGAAGTCGGCCGCCCAACCGACTGAGCCACCCAGGTGCCCCGAACTTAACTTTTTAAACTAGCAATGCCTTTGTTGTGTTATATCCTTCCATGTTTTCTATAACTAATGGTTTATAGTTTCAGTAAGGGAAACTGAAAAAACTCGCGACCATGGGGAGAGCTGGAGAGGATTTGGAGTGATGCAGAATGTTTTCCTTCCCATGTCATCTCTGAGGGTAACAGACTGTATTACGCATAAATCTTAGAAATAAAAATATAAACACACACTCTCTCTAGTCTAGTGGTTCTCGACAGGGATGATTTTGCTCCCTGGGGACATCTGGCAATGTCTGGAGACATTTTTGGTGCTCATCAACTTGGCAGGGGGTGCAACTGGCATCTCACGGGGGGGAGGCAAGGGATGCTGCTAAACATCTATAATACACATGAGAGCCCCCACACAAAGAATTATTTGGTCCAAAACATCAGTCACGTCAAGGCCAAGAAACCCTGCTCTAGGTCACATGAGATGCATTCAAATGTGGTTCATTTCTGCTGCTCTGCCTCCTCGGTGAAGTGGAAGTGGACCTCAGGACAGTGAAAGGCCCACTGCCAGAGAGCTCTGTCTGTTGAAGTTGCACTGTGAGCACTCGGTGAGTCTCCGAGGTTGGGTGGGAGGCACTCTGAGGTGGCGTATTGTGCTGGAGCTGGAGGCCCAGCAGCGGGGAACAAAAGGCCGACACAGGCTGAGGAGAGCAGCTGCTAAGAGGCAACACCTGACCCTCTTGAGGCTTTCCTCAAAGTACGATCTACTGGGAGGAGGGGATATCATACAGATGTCCAGCCCTAGGGAAATGGATGAGTACATTATGGTGTACTGGAATTTCCATTGGTACATCACACGATGTAAAAATAACAACCATGAAGACACTCCAGCATCGTGGTAAAGAGTGAAAACACAGTTGGGAGTAAACAAAGCAGAATGCAATCCTATATACACAGTATGACTGAATGGGTACAAGAGTAGAGGGGATGAGGGAACTGCAAAGATGGCTGCCTACAGTAACAGGTCAATCCTTTTTCCTTTTAAGATTTCCTTTGATACCATGGTTTCAATGTTCAACGATTTTATGTATGTTCAAAACACAAAAGTTGAGGGCCAACAGTCAAAACGCCTTCTTTCAAGATTTTTCTTTGGCAGATTTCCAAAGGTCATGGGAAGGTAGGCTCTCGGGGGTGTGGTACCCAGACTTGAAGCACAGTGGGTGTAGCTCTGTGTGTATTAATGATTACATGTATGCATACGCCCTGCTATTCTACACTTCGGAGAAAACCAAATCTGGCTTTTAAAATTCTTTTCGAAATGCTTATTTGCAGCTGAAGTTGTTCTTTGAGGACATTAAAGTGTGGAAAAGGAAGATGCCTCTATACCAGTGGACTCTGGTGACTCAAAGTCAGAAACTACTCACCACAAAGTGGATTCTTAGATAAATGCTACCTCTTCAACAGGGAACTAAGTGGCAAGCTTGGGGAGGAAGATTTGGCAAATATAAAAAAAAACGCCAGAGGAGTGAAAGTCAGTAACTCACCGGGAGTTATTATGATGGATATTACACGCCCGGGCCATTAGCACCACAATAATTGGTCGAAAGGCTTTTCCTTTACCATCGAAGTAGTATTCAGACATTTCCTTAAGTTCAGTTGTAGATATGACTAGTTCCTGGAATAAAGTTTCTCTGTGTCAATATGGCATCACAATGGCACAAAAGTCAACAGGATTTCTTTTACAAAACCCTGATTTGATTTCAGTGGACTCAGTTGCATTCAGTGTACTCATTTCACTTGAGAGATTCAACACTCAGCTGGAAAAGGTGCTAACACTGTATTGTCCCAAAACTGGCTGTCCTGCAGCTGGGCCACAAGCAATGCCTGGCCCGTCTGAGTGGCCTAAGGGCAAGGGTGAGCAGTGCCGCCTGCCCCTGTGACTCCAGCAGACTCCAGGGATGAGCAGGAAAGTACCAGGTGGCCCAGGGACTCTGGGCCATTAACAGCTGGATACAGTGACAGCTGGATAGGGGCAGGTAGCAGCTTGGAAGATGGAGGGGAGAGGACAAAGACAGGGAGTGTGGGAGCCAATGAAGCAGGTGTTAAGGGAGTGTCTGGGATGGGGAGACAAAGCTGTGTATCAGGGGCAGGAAGACAAGAGGACAGCCAGGGAGAAGCAGGGATCAGTAAGCCTGACTCGGCCAGACAGGTGAAAGGTTCACAGAGGAAGTTTCAGACACAGTTTGCCAGACTGTGAGGAGCTTACAATTGAGTTGGGGAGATAAAATTTCTTAAAAATATAAAATGTTCATGGAGCGCCTGGGTGGCGCAGTCAGTTAAGCGTCCGACTTCAGCCAGGTCACGATCTCGCGGTCCATGAGTTCGAGCCCCGCGTCAGGCTCTGGGCTGATGGCTCGGAGCCTGGAGCCTGTTTCCGATTCTGTGTCTCCCTCTCTCTCTGCCCCTCCCCCGTTCATGCTCTGTCTCTCTCTGTCCCAAAAATAAATAAACGTTGAAAAAAAAAAAATAAAATGTTCAGAATGGTAACTTGGGTGATGACATAATTAAATTAAATGTAGTAAGGGGTGCCTGGGTAGCTCAGTCGATTAATCGTCCGACTTCGGCTCAAGTCATGAACTTGCAGTTTGTGAGTTCAAGCCCCACATCAGGCTCTGTGCTGACAGCTCAGAGCCTGGAGCCTACTTCAGATTCTGTATTTCTCTCTCTCTCTCTCTCTCTCTCTCTGCCCCTCCCCTGCTCACCCTCTGACTCTGTCTTCTCTCTCTCTCTCTCAAAAGTAAGATTAAAAAAAATTAAAAAAAAAATAAATGTAAATTAAATCAAATGCAGTAAAAGTTCAGAGAAGGGAAAAATCAGCATGGGCTAGGGAACCAACTATTTAATGGAGGGTATAAGCTTTGATCTGGGACTAAAGAACAAGAAGGATTTTGATTCATGAAGAGAAGGGAGAGGCTTCCAGGCGATGGATGGACATGTGTTTACTGTACCTGCCTCTCACGGACTTGCTATGATGAACCACAGCTTATATCCCCAAAGAAATGGGAGCTAAGAATGGACCCAGAGGACCATCAGCCAGGCTCAGGTGAACACAGTACAGTGGGACAGGCTTTAACTAAGATAGCGACTTTAGTACCAAACACAGTAATAAACGCAGAGATTGCAAAGTAAAATGAGTCCTATAAGGAGCTCAGTCTAGAGGGTGAGAGGTACAACGATAATTACAATACACAGTGTGATGGGTGCTGCTCTGAAGGTAAGCGCAGCTCCTCTGGGAGCACAAAGGGGGCCCTGCTGGCTGGGGAGGGGGAGGCAGGAGAGCAACAGTGACAGGGCCACAGAAGCAGCAGTGGCCTGGCCTAGACTGTGGGGATGGAAGGCAAGAAACAGACAAGGAGGACGTGAAAGGAGAAGAGGAACAATTCCAGGATCCTGCCTGGGGTTCCCAGGCGGCACCTTCAATGAACAGGAAAAACAAGAAAAAACAATTAGGAAGGGAAAGCAGAGTTTCAGATAGGTTACACTTGAGACAGTCATGGACATTCCATGGAGCTGACTAGGGAGTAGTTAGATGCGTGGTTTTAAGAGAGACAATTCAACCTGGAACAGACATATTATTTGGGAAGTGTTCCACGTTGTTGGGAGTGGTCAACAGTGTCCAATGTTCAATAAAGTCACAGGAGATAAAAACCAAGTGTCCACTGGATTTAGCAGAAGGTGCTACGGAAGCTACGGGCTGGCAAAGGCAGTTTTAGAGGGGAGCCTGGAAAGGAAGCTGCAGAGGGACGCTGGAGGAAACTTGAAAGGGCCAAAAGAAAGAGGCAGGGAATACCGTACTGGAAGGGAAGGGGGAACAAGGCTCAAGGGATGGCGCTTTAAAGGATGAACAAACTGAACACCAACATTGGCTGTGAGAGAGGTGAAGAGGGAGAGCCTGCAGAGAAAGGAGAGGGAACAGGCAATGGCGGGACTAGTTCCTAAGGCACCGAGGAGGCAAAGGGCACGGGACTAAGCTGGAGGCAAAGGGAGGCCTGGAAAGGCCTTTCCTCCTGGAAAGGGAGGGAACATTTACTTCACTGAGGTGGGACGAAAGCATGCAGATGGGTACGTAAATGGTAACAAAGCAGGTGTCCAGAGAGTGACTCCTAAAGGCCTCCCCTCAGTCTATTAAATAGGAAGTGGCCGTTGCTATGAGAACAGGAGAGTGAGTTAAGGGTTTGAGGAGGAAAGTGGAGGACCCTGAAAGGGAAGGAAGCTGATGAGGGACACATGAATATTTCTGGGCAGCATCTGAGAATCCACCAAAAGTTTTATGGATAAAAGCATTTAATACATAAAGCCCCATTTGGGGGCAGTCTGGCACTGATCTTCAAGCACTTCAATATGCCTGGAGCAGGTGAAGGAATAAGGGAGGGTAAGTACCGGTTTTTTCAGTTCCCCAGCTCTGTGATAATGCCACTCTGGATGGGGACATGTACTGTACCCTCCATACCGCCCCCCTATGTTGCCCAAGAAACATTTGAAACTTGACACTCATGAATCAAGTTTGCAATGACAGTGTACACAATTCTAAGAAATCAACATTACTGACAGTACTATCAAAGCTCTCTTACCTTTCTAATGTCTTCATACAGATCTTTCAAGTCTCTCCAACCGAGTTTGAAAGGATCGATGTATTTCTCACCACTCCGTGTTTTACTACAACAGCACGCTGCTGACGTTGTGTGATGGAACCTGGGACAAGCACAAAGCACACAACATAAGACTGAGTGCCATTCTATTAAGTGAGATAATTTCATTTTTAAGTAAGAATTATATACACATATTCATATACATATACTTGCTGGAAATTAAGCATGAATGGTCATTACAATTTAGAACACACAGAATTCTGTTCTTGCTCAACAATACATAAATAGCTTATTTTTATAATCAGGAACTCGAGAACCCACAAAATCAAATACTAAACTAGTTTATTGTATTCTGAGTTTAAATTTTATTATACTCCCATTTTTTTGAAAAGGCAGAGGTCACACAGAGTGATACCGTGGCACGTAGTGAGACAAAATATTCAATTTGTTGGAGTAGCCCCCCACAGTTTAGAACAGAAATTTACTGGCAATATGGCTAATAACTTTAGTGGTTGTAATACAGATTATAAACTTACCGTGACATACTATACCTATTTGAAAAAGCAGATGTTAAACTCTTCACAAGATTAAAGTAGGACATCTACAAAATAAAAGCATTAAGAAACCTATAAGAATATTCATGCAAAAATTGTTTATAATGCCAGATAAATAAAACCTCCATAGTTCATAATAAATATAGTCTTTAGTTGTCCCTTGTAGGTAGATTGCAAACTTCAGAAAAATGATAATAAAATTACCTTATTACAAAAGCAGTATTTGTCATTACGGAATATATAAGAAAAGAACACATCTATAATCTATCCCTTTCTCCAAAGAAAGCTAGTTTCTATATTCCTATCTATCCTTTCAGATCTGAAAAGTAGTTTTAAAACAATTTCCTTCCATTTAACTAAGATTGGTCAGAGAATAGTAAAGATTTATATTCTTCAACCAGTTTAAAACAAAGAATAATCAAGCTCCCCCAAGCATCAGCCTGGATGGTGAAAGGGAAAAAGATTTCAATGTTGAGGAAGGAAATTTCCATTGCTAAACGAACACTGCTTATTTTATTTTACTATTATTTTTTAAAAATATGAAACACTTCACGAATTTGCATGTCACCCCTGTGCAGGGGCCGTGCTAGTGCTAATCTTCTCTGCATCCTTCCAGTTTTAGTGTATGTGCTGCCGAAGTGAGCACGAACACTGGGAAACATGCTGGGAAATAGTACTGCCTGATCAGCAATGTTAAAAAATGAGTTCAGTGGTACATTTTGAAAATATTAACTTAGAGATCAAGAACAGAAGACTACAAAGAGATTTAGGGGTGGTGACAACAAATGTTAGTTCCAATGATTACTGAGCACTATTATGGGCCAGGAACTATAACAGGCATGGGGGACCCAAAGATACAAACTGACGATCTTAAAGAATTCAGGGACACAGTCATTTCAAAAATTACTAATATACTGGGGTACTTGGCTGGCTCAGCCAATAGAACATGTGACTCTTGATCTCAGGATCCTGAGATCAAGAGTCCTGAGAGTGAGCTGGAGCCACACCTTGGGTGCAGAGTTTATTTAAAAAAAAAAAAAAAAAAAAAATTACTGATTTACCGATTTAATGTGGTAAGGGCTCTGTATTTAAAGTAACTATTTTGACAAAAAGGACAAATTTAGCGCAAGAAATATAAAACTAATCCACTCTACTTGCAATAAAGTCTTACAAAGTGCTTTTACACTATGACCCTCACAAGTACTTGCTTTTATAGAGCTGGGGAACTTGAAGTTCAGAAGTCAAGCCTGAAAAACTGATATACAGATATGTTAACAATATATCAAAAGGAAAGAGCATCTACAAAACCATATGTATTATGTGATCGCAACAAAAATTTTTACATACGTGCATGCACAAATAAGATACACAATGGGGTTTAAAAGTGTATAAACCAGGGTATTAAACATAGTAATTTCTGAATAAATAGGATTGTGGGAGTTTTTTGTTTTATTCCTTTTTTGCTTTTATATTTTCTGACTTTTTCCTAGTGAACACATATTGCTTTACACATATTAAAATGACAATAAAGGTGGACTCTGCCAGGCAGGCAGTCGCCAAGGAAGACTGGCTGAGTTCTAGTCGTTCCACAATAGCATTATACATTCATTAGACCAATAAGAACATTTATGATGTCACAAGAAAGCGAGGTGATCTTTTGATTTTACCATTATATGACATTTAACCTGCTTGTTTCAGCCTTTGTAATTAATTCATACAAATTCAGTATTTCATTACAATACTCAGTTTGAGACCTAATCTAACCTGGGGCAAAGAGTTAAAATTACACAGCTAATATGGAGTGCTCTGAACCACTAGGCAGCCTAATAGTTATTAAAACCATGGTCTTTGGAAGATGGATCTTGGTTCAAATCCCAACATTTCCTGGCCATGTTACCTTGTGACATCTTTCTGCTAATACCTACTCACAGAGAGATGCTACAATTAATTCGGAGAAGTTGCGTAAAGGTCTTAGCTCAGAGCCTAACACACTGTACACATTTAATACAGTCTTTGCATATCTATAGTATCTACAGTATTTAATGTCTACTCAGTCAAGGTATCTTCTGCTTTAAGATGGAGCCATGTTTTCCAAAGGAAAGCTTGTGCACTGTTGGTGGGAATTCAAACTGGTGCAGCCACCATGGAAGACAGCACAGAGGTCCCCCTAAAAATTACACAGAATTCCCATATGATCCAGTAATTCCATCACTGGGTATTTACCCAAAAAATATGAAAATAAATGCTAATTCGAAATGGTATATGCACCCCTATGTTTATTGCAGTATTATTCACAATAGCCAAAATATGGAAGCACCTCAAGTGTTCATTGATGGATGAATGGATAAAAATGCTGTGGTACATATACAATGGAATATTATCCATTAAAAAGAATGAAATCTTGCCGTTTATAACAACATGGATGGAGCTAGAGAGGGTAATGCTGACTTTCTAACCGAAACAAGTCAGTCAGACAAAGACAAATAGCAAAGGATTGCACGTGGAATTTAAGAAACAAAACAAATGAACAAAGAAAAAAAGAGACAAACCAAAAAACAGGCTCTTAACTACAGAGAACAAACTGCTGGTTACCAGAAGGCAGGTGGGTGGGGGGGTGGGTGAGATAGGTGAAGGGTGATGATCAACAGTAACATTTCTCTTGATGAGCACTGAGTAATGTATAGAACAGTCAAATCACTATACTGCACATCTGAAACTCATGTAACACTGTTAATTATACTAGAGTGTAAATAAATCAATAAAAAGGAGTGTCAAAGAAAAGAAGCATCCAGTGCTATCAGATGGTGGGTGCCAACATCTCTCCCAATAATGCCTTCATCTGTGACACTGTAAGTATTTGAAGTCTGGCTAGGACTGTACTGAAATGGGTCCTAGCAAAGCCCGGAGACTTTCATTTCCCATATTCTCTTTTTACTGTCGGTCTGTGGGCCCAGTTGCTATTCTCTCCCCAAATGTCCATTCTGGGTAAGTTGTGACATGTATCCACCTTGGTACAGAGCAGACATTTATAAATGCTACATATTTCATATAGGTACATGGTGTCTGAAGGGTACATGGGAATATGAAGTGTCCCAAAACCAACCAAAACAGAAAAGTCCTAAATTCAATAAACTTTTTAAAAACGAGCCTTGCGGATGAAAGGAAAACATAATAATTACTGTGTGACTGGAGAAGTCTCTAAAAAGGACAGTGAGTATATAGATTTTGCTCAGCTTCTCTAAACAATATGGGCCTACCCATGGCACGTGGAGTCAATCAGTGCAGGAAAGACTAATGAAGCCACAGAACATGTCAATTTACAGGGGCTAAACTGGCCGCAAAGGGAGAAAACTGACTGGGCCCAAGGGCTGCAGGGCGGAGAGTCAAGCAGTCATGGTTAGTGCTGAGATTCTTACTCTACTTCAAGAAGTCACATTAAATCAAAGTTCAACGTTTCTCTACTTGTGACATGCTCAGGCCTCTTCTCCTTGCTGTGACCTTCTACCCCGTCCAGGTAGGCTCTCCCGGGCCGGGAAGCAACTACCGTAGGACTGAAATCCGGTCCACTCTGAGCATCAGCCCTACACGAAGCCTCTTCCGCCTATTCCGAGCCCACCTGGATGCCCTGGATCCCAGAGCGCTCAGAGCACCTTTTGCTCTTAAGTCCTAATTAAGAGCGCTCCTCCGGAAGCCCTGGGTGTAAATCGAAAGGAAACAGCTGCATTCGGTCTCCAGGCTGCACTAGGTCCACACGCAAGGAGACAACCTGGCTGCTCTCCCTCCACTTTCCCTGAGACCCGGCTCCTCATCCACCGCTATTTCCCCAAACCCCAAAGCGCCTGGGTCCCCAGGACCACGCTTTGCAGACTCGCGCAGGGCGCCCCAACATCAGGCATACGCCCGGCACCCACCCCTCCACATCCCCCGGCGGGGCTCGGGCCCATCCAGCCCCGGGTCCCCATTGCAGCGCAGCCTCCCCCTGCCCCGGTGCACGTGCCGCCCGTCCCCATTCCTTCATCCGTGCGGCTGTCATTGGCGCGGTGACCTCTGCGCCCCGCCGCCGCGCCCGCCTCAGGGCCTCCTCACCTGCACGCCGTCGTCGGCAGCGGCGGGCGGCCCGGGGGGCCCCGTGCGGCCCGGGGAGCCGGGCCCGGGGCTCCGGGCAGCCGGCCTCCAGGAGCAGCAGCGCCGCCAGGGCCACCGGCACGAAGCCATGAGGTCCGAGTCTGAAAGCCGCGGTGGAACGCTGGCTCCGCCTATGGCCGGGCGGTCTTCCCCCCGGGACCCGGAGCCGGAAACTTGGCACAGGAAGTGCTTCTACCTCGCCCCAGGCTGCAGCAGCTGGTTCCAGAGCGGGGCTAGCGCCACCGGCGCTTCCCCGGAAGGGCCACGCGGAACCTTAGGCGCCACCCCTGCCCTAAACTTGCGGGGGTGGCCCCTTGCCGGTCCCCGTAACTAAGCGGGATATTTCACCTGGACGAGCAGTTTCTCCCGAACTCCTGCCCACCCTCCGGGGAGCTAGGAGCTCCCATCAGACATAGCCAAAAAAAAAAAAAAAGGATCTTTGGGGAACCGGCTGTTAACAATTGCCACCGTGCGCCAGACTCTTGTTCCGCGTATTTAGACAGAGCTATGACTCAAAGAATCAGATTCCCGTTTTGCTGTCTGATCCGGGGTCTCGCGTTTCCACGGCTGCTTCTCTTTGGCGTGACCTGCCCCAGCGTTGTCTGCTGCCTATTGCTACCTGACCTCGAGGGAAGTGCCCACCTCTTGCTTCTTTCCAGAAACAAGTCGAAACACGAGCTGGGCTATTGTGAGACAGAAGCTAAGTTAGCCTTGTCTCTCGACTTTTGGACTCTGTCCTCTGAGAACCTTTTAGGTATATGGTGGCATAGTTTGGCGGTGTTGCTCATAACTGGGTAGGAGTCCCACCCGTGGGTGTACTGAGCTGTGTGAAATTGCTTAGTATTTGGTAATGTTGGATGTAACTTGCCAGTGTGGGAGATACCGGAGAATGTACAGGATTAGTACCTGATGTGAGTTAGAAAGACCTTTCCTTAATTCTATAGCCAGATCTACTTCTCTCATGATAATGAGAGAACGCACTTACATCAAATCCGTGCTGCAGTCATTCAACACGACACAAATAGGGCCAATGAGAGAAAGTGTAGGCATTTTGGATACAGAATGGAACATCTGTCTTCAAAAAATTCACCGTTATGGGGAAACAGACCAGCAAAATAGGCAACTGCAATTCTCTGATTTTTTTTTTCCTGTTCTTTTGAACCATGCTTTTTGCATTTAAAAAGTGAAAGTGCCCGTGGTATAGCTGAGCACATTATTTTTATATTTATATTCAAAGTTATTTTTTACTGAATAAAAGCATAAAATAAGGCTTATTTAAATAAGCCAATTTTATGATTTTTCCCCCAATCTTGAAAAGTAGTATGTAAAAAATAATGTGAGGTGCTTTACAAATAAAGGTTGTTGATACACATCTGTGGCTTATCTTGATATAGCTCTGTATATTAAATATTCAACAGGTACAATTTGCCATGGTAAAGTGTAGCAATAAATTATTTACAACAATGCTACTACTTAGATACTATCATTTGCCCTTTTTCACACACAGGGAAACATGGAAGAGTTACATGTCTTGCCAAGCTCCCAGATACAGCACTACACCATTCTGTCAGGCCATTTTCATTTGGAGATTGTTTTCCAGGTTAAAACAAAATACCTGGCTCTTTAAAAAAGAAATTTTATGGCTAAGTATATAGCCTTATGCAAGGCTAAGTTGGGGACGCAGGTGAAATTTGTGAAGGTTTCCCACGTTCTGGATAGCTAAACTTTTGATGAAGAATAACCCATCGATAGGACATGCAGAATACAAGTAGTTCTTTTGACCCAACTAGGCTAAACATGTGTATAGGAAGTTAAAACCACCGAGCTGTGTAAGGAACTGCCAAAGAGCCGACTCTTGTGCACAGGCTAGGAACAACTTGGGTTGTTTTGACTGCACTTCTAGGAATGAAATAACCAGTACTGACATATAAGTGGAGCAAGTATGTAATTGAAAGCATTTTTGAAGTTATTTTTTCAATGTTGGAAAGTTGACTATACTTTAAGACATTTTCTTTCCACAGTGATGATACTGTTCAAAACATTATCTATGGTAGGACCAGGTGTTATACAGCCAAGGAGAGACTGTATACATAATACTATGTACATCTTAACTGTGTCTTGATTCATAATACTGCATGAAAACATCTCATCCTGATGTTATTAGATAAATGATCAATTATCAAGGTGACTGTGGTAAGAACATTTACTGAGAGAAGAAGTTCAAACATAGTTGCGCTGAAAGGTTAGCGGTTTTTGTGGATTTCATATTCTTAGGCTAAACTGAATTCTAAAGAATTTAATTTTGGAATTATTGAAATCTCTGAGATGTTAAGATAGAGACTTAATATACATTTGGAATTTTCTCTTGGGTTTGTAGTGTATGACTGATTATTTGGGTAAAGTGTAGCAAAGGTAAGGAAGGGTTGGGTGCCTCTGAAGCAGCTGGCCTCTTTTTTTTCCTGACCAATGATCACATATGACTGACTAATCAACTACCGTACCAAAATGTGAATCAGTCAGTACAAAATCATGAGTATTAATGAACAGTATATATAGCCTGTGCTCTATTAAAATGTTAGGGCATCATAAAAAATGCATAAATTATACTTTAGTCTATTTCCACACAGTGGATCTCTTAAAAGAGACTCAAATACATTGTTGGATCTTCTACTTTTAATCATATTGTCAGGTTTTCTGTGGCAATGCTGAAATCATTTGTTTTTTGGTTGGCTACCCATTTGTTCCCCATGATGTGCCTTCTTTACCATGTATTTAGGGGAAAGTGTAAAGGTTAAATCTGGTCCACATTTGCCTCTTTTTATACTCCTATGGGAAAGATAGATGATCACTCTTATTTCTGTTACAACTTGCCATTTGGTTCACCTAGGCTTGAGTGGGACAAATAAAAGTTATGCCAAACAGTTGAACTGATTGTCCCAATGCCACCTTTCTCTACTGATTACAAATATCATTTTAATTATATAGAGCATTCTTAACATTACTTTGGACTGTTTCTTTACTTTTCACTGAGTCCCTTTGGTCTTTGCATCTGTCTTAACCATTTATTTATTTATTTATTTATTTATTTATTTATTTATTTAATTAATTAATTAATTTATTTATTTAGAGCAAGTGGGGGACAGGAGCAAAGGGAATCTTAAGCAGGCTCCACACTTAGAGCAGAGCTCCACCTGGGTCAATCCCCACGACCCTGGGATCATGACCTGAGCCAAAATCAAGAGTCGGATGCTTAACCGACTGAGCCACCCAGGTGCCCCAGCTAATTGTGTTCTTATAATTTATAATATGATAGGAAAACTCCCATTTCTCCCTAAAATATAATTTTTATTTTTCAAGATTTACACTTAAGATGATCTGTTTCTTCGGAAAAGCTCTACTGGGATTTTGGCTGGATATCCATATGTTTATTAAATAATTTGACTACACTGACATCTTTTTTTTTTTTTTTTAATTTTTTTTAACATTTATTTATTTTTGAGACAGAGAGAGACAGAGCATGAACGGGGGAGGGTCAGAGAGAGGGAGACACAGAATCTGAAACAGGCTCCAGGCTCTGAGCTGTCAGCACAGAGCCCGACGCGGGGCTCGAACTCACAGACCGAGAGATCATGACCTGAGCTGAAGTCCGCCGCTTAACCGACTGAGCCACCCAGGCGCCCCTACACTGACATCTTGATAATGTCTCTATCCAGAAACAAAATTTTGTGTCCCCTTGTTTTGTAATTTTAGTAGTACACCTACCGTCTTCTGTTTGTTTTTTTGTTTTAACTGGTTGGTTTTAAGAAAACATTAAGATTTTAAAAATTGAATGTAAAATAAAATATGTTCAGTATCTAAGGCATGTTCAAAGCTCTCTTTTTTTGTACAGCTTTTAAAATAAGGTAGATGTGCTTTACTACATGTTTTATACATTTAGTAAAACATCTGTTGCCTGGTATTAGAATTTATGTGCATATCTGTTTCCTTCAGTAATTACGATTTTCTGAAGGACAGAAAGAATGTGATTAACTGCCTAATATTTTTTGGTTGGATTCCATTGAATTGGCTGTTACTATAATTGCAAAATTGTAATGCAGCTCACCTCCGCTTTATTTATACATTCTTATTTATAAATATGTTGTGCATCCTGTTGGTCTCCTATAAATGAAAATCCTTGAAGACAGGGTATGTGTCTTGGTTTAAACTTTTTCCATCTCCCATCTTCTTGGGTGGTTCCATCTACTGTATTAGATGAATATTGGATAGCTATGGCTGAAAATGATAGAATAGGCTTTAACCCAAGTGGGAAGAAAATAGCGGTATAAATTAATTTTCCTGAAGAACCGTAGCCCTTCTAAGGAATATTAATGCTATGTTTGCAATAAATGAGAACACTGAGTTTTTTTGTGTTTTTTTTTTTTTAATCAGCTGTGTTGCCAGTTGATCCTGTTAAAGAAAATTATGTTCGTAAAGTGAAAAACTGTATTTTTTCAATTGCCGTCCCTACTCCTTTGAAATCAAGAGTACGTCTTGTAGCAGTTTCAAAGGTTAGGCTTGATTTTTTTTCACAACACAGATACTTAATTCACTGTAAATTTTGTCTAAAAAGATGTTCATACTTTTTAGAGTTGAATTGTTAGGTGATAAATGCCTATCTTTGTGTTTAAAATTCACACACCCTTGGAGTATGTCATTCTTAGAAATCACTTTTTGCTATTGATTCCTGGAGCTAGTACTCCATTTCATCTTAAAGTTATCTTACAGGAAAATATACTTTTTTGGAAGAAGGGGGGTAAGTAAGTTAAATTCTTAAAAATGGGCTCTAATAATAGATTCTAAATTGTTCTCTCATGATAGAATTGAATTGGGGAATAGAAATAAGACATTTTCTTTTTTTCTAGTTCCTTTAAAGAATATGAACTAGGAAAAATATTGTTTTACCATGCATCACAAGAAATACATAAAACATTTTAAACTAAGAACTAATTTTCCTAAATAGCGTAAATAATCATATAAAGTACGATCCATCTCTCATGAAAAAATATTAATGTACTTTTGGAAGAGCTTCTTTTAATTTTCTTTCTTCCATCAAGTCTCCTTTGTTAAAAATTCTTAAAGGATTACTTAAGTTTGTAAGGCTTTTTTTGTTT